GAAAATTCAGTAATTACTGCAGACAACAGAAGAAATTCAGACAGCAGTGGACACTCATATGAAGACATTTGTGCCTATGAGGATGACATAGAAACACATAAGACCAGAAGCATCAAAAGGAACTCTGCAGAGAATATACACATGAAAAATGCTGAGAAAGTGGACAAAAGATCTCAGTCTCATCTTCAGTACAGTGGTAAGTTTTTTGGGGTTTCTGACCTACCTACATAACCAGCTTTAATCAGAAGAAAAGAAGTGTGGTTTTTTTTTTTCAAGATTTCCTGCATAGTGAGTCATTTATATCATAAATAAAGTCAGTTGTGCATTTGGATTAATGACTAATCATGGTTAACGCTTATGGATAAGGGTACATGAAAAGTCCTTAATTCATGCATATAATACATCATGAATTTGCATAAAGTAACCATGTCTCATGCACAACTTAATGCAGGAGTAATAGTGTTAAGTTATATATTTAGCATTACTGAAGCACAACTTCTTCATGGGTTCATGATGTTTGTAAATCTTTATCACTGTTCTGTTCATGACGATAATTGAAAGCCATTAAATAAGCAGTCTTTTTTTAGTTCTGAATATAATAAGACTGTCCTGTAACTGGCATCATCTGCCAAGTATTTCAAAAGAAACAGACATACTCATATGACTCATAAATTATGTTAAATGCAAATACTGAAAACACAGAGCAGCAGAGTCGCTAATGTGCAAGCTAAAACACATAAAATAAGCACTGCTTACAAATGCACTGTTGAAAAAGGACCATTAGAAATTTAGGATTAAGGATTAGGATTAAAACCGAATGGTTTCGCTTTCTAGTGGGAATTGGTTTAATGGTTTTCAATAGAGGACCTCTAGTGCATCTTCCAGGACAGAATTTGTGAACTGTAAAGCACATCATGAACAAATGTAAAGAGAATTGTGCGTTAAAATATAAAGAAAGGCAGCACTTACCTCAAGAATCCTGTGAGTTGGAGGACTAAGTGAGGCTAACAAAATGACACACTGGACATGAACGTCCAGCTTGGCTTCGCCCTCCTGCACTCTGTAGTGAGAGGCTTCCTCAGACTGCAGCCCCAAGCTAACCCACTAACCGCATACTAACTAACTCACAACAACCTGACAAGCTAACTGCAAGCTAACATGTTAGCCACAAGCTAGCACACTAGACTAGCTATGATTTGAGATAATACAATAATACAATAATACAGTTTGAGAAAAAGTGATTTTTTTAGGGAAGCATAGTCTGTCCACACCGTTGATCTGACATTTTTTTTCATTAAAATTATATTCTATATAAAGGAACTCAATACAAAAAAAGAGATTATTTACTGGCATTCTACAGTCATTTTATCATCACCACAACAGTAATAAAGATGGTATGTTATGTTATGTTATGTGATGATGGTATGTTAGGTATGTTACCACTTTACTTTGAGGACCCCAAAAATCATGAACCCATAAAGAAATAATCCTTCAGTAATGCTATATATATATATATATATATATATATGACATGATGATATTGGTACATTAATTTCTACCTGACTGAATATAATGTTTCTACATTAAGACATGCATGAAACATGGTTACTTTATGCATATTCATAATGTCTTAAGATGTGTTACATGTGTGAATTAAGGCCATTTCACGTACCCTTACAGTAAAGTGTTACCTCATGTTCAGTAGTTAAAAGGAACAGCAAAGATGCTCAAACACATGTACACATAATATATAATTCATTTGTTTCTCTCTTTTTAAGAACATTTCCTTTTGAAGATCCTTCTTAAGCATCCCTGCTATGAGGGTTTTTCTTTGAAACTCAATTTGATCTGATGTTCTATGTTACTTTACCGAGAAAGACTGAATTTGAGAGTTTATAATCTGATATAAATCTTTAATAAAAGCCAAAAGACACTAAACAAAATTCTGCTTTGGAAATTAGCTAGCTAAGAGATGCCATGTCTGTGAGTCTGTCCTCTGAGCAGCCAGTTCATTATATAACAGCTGTAACCAATTCAGCAGGATTTTCAACAAAATCATTTTATATTAGGGCTAGACATTTTTTCTAGCTTTGAATGTTGGTATTTCAGAACAAAAGGTTATGTGCATAAAAGAAACTGTCTGAAGAGATTTAAAAAACTAGATAGGCCTTGTATGCAGACATACAGTCAGCAGGGTGCCGATCTTATCAAGCCTCATCTTGACTTCGAATATCAACTTGAAACTCTGAAACTGTGAAAATGACCTAAAACACAAAAGTGTGTTACTTGAGAACAGAGACTCTCTGACTGTGGCTCACTTCCTGTCCTTTGAGGAAGCATCAGTCTCAGTCAACTTTAACTCATTCATGTCCAAAAAGTAAACTAACTATAAGATGGTCAAAAGCCACAGAATGTGTTCTGATTGGTGTAACTGTTGTAGTATTTAACAGGTATTAATTTTATAGGTGTTTTATTGATCCTAATCAGGCTGGAGATTTATATGGAGTAAAACAGACTATGTTATTGTTTGCTGTGGAAGACAAAATTTTAATGCTTATTAAAGCAATAAGTCACCAGACGCTGTGTGCTGTCTGTGCCAGGACATGGACCTCTGTGTCGCATTGTGGCCTACAATGCCCTTGTAACATGCCACTAAGTGACCTACTGCTATTTAACAACGGGTACAAACTACAATATGATACACCAATGTTCAAGAAACAATTAAATTCATCTGTAAATTAATTATAATTGCAATAAACAATTCTTCTGCCAATGCTGTTTCTTATTAGTAAGCACTGGCTGCCTGTTTTATAATAATGTTTAATAGTTTTAATAGTAAATTCCATAAAAGTGTTACAGTTTTTGCAAGGAAGTGATAATGCAATATAATATAATATGACTATTTTATAATTATGTAACATACTATAAGATATTGTAATGTAATCTTTAAGTAGTTTTAAATACAAAACATTATTTTGCAAGTAGTTGGGTCAGTCATGATGTGAGTAGAATATCAGGTTTAATTCCATTTTAGCTGCATATCGGGTAGACTTGTGCTCATATTGACAGAGTAATCAGGTTTAATATAGTGCTCAGCTACACGCTAAACCAATGAAGTGACTGGTTTAGCCAAATCTGTGTTAAGCTTCAACTTTTAAACCATTTAAAAAAGAAACTTTTAGTTTCACATATGCCAGGATCTGATTAATAGTTTAAAAATTTGCATGCGTTTAAGATAAACGAAACATAGAGGTTACCTGCTAAGCTTCTTGTCATTGCCTGTATGAAAGTACACTATATGTGTAAAAGGACACTTTCATCACACCTATATGAACTTGTTGGACATTACTTTCCACCCACCCCCACCCCCAATCCCTTGTGTGCCTATAACAGCCTCTACTTTCAGGATAGTTTTAGCCAAGCCAAGCTCCATCTGTTGTTTCAATTTTATTTTACCCTTATCAAATACTAAAAAATAAAACTAAAATGGGAAGGGGAACATGAGAATTGTCATCTTGGAAGACATTATGTTCCTCTGTAAGAGTATGAGCAAAAGGCAAAACCTGACAGTCCAGTAGCTCAATGCAGGTTGAACTTTACTGTCACCTCAACCAAAGGACTCATTTCCATGTAATTAAAACACCCGCAGAACATCACAGAGCTCCTCCAGCTTGAACTACACCTTACACACAGTCCTCACTGAAGTCTTCCTGAGGTCTATGATGAACACGATGCCCAGCATCATTCACATACAGGCAGAAATAAGATTCATCTGACCAGATAACACGTTTCCAGTCATGAACAGTCCAATTTTTGTGTCTCTTCATCCAATGTAACTGGGCAAGGTGAGCAAAGGCCTCTTGCGTGCCACTCTGCTCCACATGTTCAATTTATGCAGTTCCCTGCAGCGTGTTCTTTCAGAAATTGCTTGTGAAGGGAATCAATTCTTGGCTGGAAGTGAAGCAATTTTTATTCACAAGCCGTGAAATACGCCAGCGGTCCCTGTCCGTCAGTTTCGTCTTTTGGCCACAATTTCCTGTAGACTGGGACTTTTGCCACTGCTGGTAGACCCGTATGACAGTTTGATACACCTGCAAATTCAGCTGTTTCCTTCACACTATGGACTTGGGCACAGCCAATTTTTCACACATCGAACAAGTACTGTACTGTACCACCTATTCTCAATCTATGAATCCCGTCACACACATCGCAGGTTATAGCCCTATCATCTTTGAGTAACGCCATCTGCAGAATGCTGCAAGTTGCTGCCACCTTTGACATGCAAGATGACAAAATTTTTGTCTGAGGAGCTTATTATACATACTGTGATTAAAAAATACTTTTTACAATTAAATGGCCAACTAAATGGCAACCTAGGCCAGCCTTCACAAAAATTGCAGAGAAGGCAGTAAACAGTGGAATGCTAACTGAAAAATAAAATTATTAGAATCAAAAATACTGGGAAGCTTCACCCCCAGCAACTGCCATAAACGATGAGCAGAGCATTCAGTATTTACACACCCTGACAACACCAGGCTGTGAGTTTTACTGTGGTGTAAAAACAGTTCCAAAGTCAGCACTACTCAACACAGAAAATTTAAGTATAAATCAAGTCACATTGGGGCATCAGTTGAAAATTTGTTTAATAAAGGGTTTCACATCTTAACATCTTAGCTCAACATCAGAACAACAGCATAAAGCCTTTCACTCTATCACACAAGGACAAACTCTATTTTACTAGTTGCATGCTTTATCACATGCTTTATCATTTTAATTTTACATCTGAACAGTTCATTCATTCACTGAAATATGTACGTATCCATTTTCAGAAATGAGCACTGCAGGCAGAAGATGCTCCAGACTGACTGCAGTGTGTCTGGGGCTGCTGTGTGTTCTCCTGCTGACTGCCATCACAGTGCTGTGGGTCAAGTTCACTGCAGAGAGAGACAAGTTACAGACCAGTTACACCAGCCTGACTATAGAGAGAGACCGGTTACAGACCAGTTACACCAACCTGACTGCAGAGAGAGACCTGTTACAGACCAGTTACACCAACCTGACTGCAGAGAGAGACCAGCTACAGACCAGATTTGTGGAAGTGACAAATGAAAGAGATCAATTTAAGAACAGTTACACCACTGTGATTCATGAGCTTCAGAATCAGAGAGTGCATCATCAGAATTTCTCTAATTTGGGTGAGCAGATCATTTAATTATTTTAGAAACTCAATCCAGTTAAACTTTAAATCATTCAATGCATATTATTACAACAGACATGTATTATTTCATATATGAGTATATACAGAAGTGTGCAGAAGTCTTAATTTTCAGTAGAACAGCCTTTAAGTACAAGTTATTCATATTTTTTTATCCATTTTTCAGGATCAGGAAAAGAGGAGGAAACATCCTCCTGGGTTGCAGTTTTTCAAAGAAATGTTTCTGTTTCTCACGCTGCACATAAACACAATTGCAAATTTAGACTTTACACCACATCTCAGTGTCCAGTTTCAGTGTTCTAGTGTACATTTTCGTCTTTCTTTCTTCGTCTATTTTCTTTTCTCAATAAGGGCTTCTCAGCAGCTACACATCTAATCAGACCCATAGCGCTGAGTTGTCTTCTCACAGTGGAAGGATGGACAAAAACACCTGTGGTATTTTTTCAGATCTGTAGTAAGAGTGGAGCTTGATTTTCTCCTCTCGTTCAAAGATGAAAGCTTTAAGTGATGTTTATCTGGTGACAGTTTTGGTGGTTTACTAGGTCTTGTACATTTGTGAGGAGTCCCATTTTCTCAGTATTGTTGTTTGAAAACTCCTGTTTTCTCACTTATTTTCCTTTGACTTTCCCAACTGGATTGTCTTATGCTTTTGCGAAAGCAAGTGTATTTTTGAAGGGGAAAATAATGGCAGTGAGATCTTTGGGAGCAGCTTTTGCTGGGAATGAGTAAAGAAATAAATATTTCTAATTTGATATTATTCTTAGTGTTGGAGGCTTTTGTGTAATTTTCCATTAAATATATGGTTCCTGCTTTTTTCTGTCACTGAAAATGAATAACTTGAACTTAATGGCTGTTTTGATTGGAAATTAAATAGACAACGTCTTTGACTTTTGCACAGTACTGCATGTGTGTGTTCTGTGTTCACTGCACAGAGAAGGTAATGCAACAGGGTTGGAAGGTTTTCAAAACCAGTGTGTACTACATCTCTACTGGAGAGAAGAGCTGGAGTGAGAGCAGACAGGACTGCAGAGAGAGAGGAGCAGACCTGGTGATCATAAACAGCAGAGAAAAACAGGTCAGAAAGACAGAAAGAGAGAAAGAATGAGTAGAAAAGGGAACGCAACCCACTGATCTTCAGCTCATTCTTATCTCAATGGCAGGAGTTCATCCTTAAAAATCTGGGCCGCAGTCGAGCTTGGATTGGTCTGACTGACAGTGACACGGAGGGAGTCTGGAAATGGGTGGACGGGTCACCACTGACCACTGGGTAAGAAACAGATTAAATGGGTGTTTTTCATCCATCTCAAGTACCAAATGCACCTTTCAGCAGATGGATAAAGCCAGGCTAACAGTACTGTTTTCTGTTGGTAACTGATTATGTAGTAAAGTGTATATATTCATGAACACAGGCTGGGAGATTTGAGCTGAAGGTCTGGAACTGAACATTAAATGAACACTGATCAGAGACTGATTCTGATTCTCTGGCTTTCAGGTTCTGGGATCAAGGAGAACCAAATGATGATCAGAATAATGAGGACTGTGCTGAGATTTGGGATTTGCCAAATAAGAACGGCTGGAATGACAGACCATGCTTTTACAAAGAAGGGTGGATCTGTGAGATAGGAATTTTCTGATACTTACTTATGAAATGATACCAACCCTGATCCTGGAGATCAGCCTTCTTGTGGACCGTAGTTTAATCACAGTCTGTCACACCTGCTCCCACTAATGAACTTCTTCAGAAGGCCTTGATTGGCTGGATCAGATGCATTAGTGTTGGGTAATGGGTGCAGCATCAGATGTAGGTTAGAACTAAACTCTGCAGGAAAGTAGATCTTGAGGAGGAGAGCTGTGGTCACTGATTTACATTTACAGTATTTAGCAGATCCAGAATGACTCAAAAAGTGCTTCACTGTCCACTCAGATAATGTATCTTAGCTTTACTATGTTAAGAGTCTAAACACACATTCACTGTTTATTAGTGTCTATATAATTATTAGTGTTTATTAGTGTCTGTATAATTATTAGTGTTTATTAGTGTCTGTATAATTGTATGAACTCAGTTAAGTGTCCCTTGAGCACTCATGTCCAGACACTTCTGTGCTAAAGAGGAGGGTCACATGACTGTATTAATTGTATTATTTTGGGAAGTCTGAGAACCATCAGGGGGCAGTAGGTGAGTTATGATCATGTGATCCTCTATTACAGTTAAACCTACCGAATTTAAGATCCAGCATATCTGTATCTTTATCATATATTTGTATCTCCATTTTTGTCATTTTTGACATTTTGCATAATTTGAAACTTCTAGTAATCTTTTGCATGGTTTTAAATTTTATAATGAGCAGACCAAAATAAATAGTTTAAAATGACTTGGAAAAAAATCTAGTTACTTTAACAGCTTAATAGGGTTTTTTCCTTCTCCTGTCAAGTTACCATGCTGGAGATACAAGGTGATCCAACAACAGTGATATTCTCTTACACACAACCCCTTTTTAGTACATAGATCTCTAAGAATAATGTGTGTTTTAGTGTTTCTTGGTTAAACAATGTGACCATGTAAATATGTTTGGGATATTATTACAGATACCATTACAGAAAACCATGAAATTTCAGATGACTGAGAGGCACATGGAGTTAGTCTGCCCCCTGGTGGTGATGTTCAATCTTTGCAGTCCTCCTCTAGGGTCTATAGTTCAGTGTCACTATTTTATCTTTCATAGAAATCAGATCATTTTGTGCAGTTTTGCTGCTTCTTAAAGGGTTCTGTATTTTTATTATAAACCAAAAAGTTATTTTTTTATCATGTTTTTGTTTCTTTCACATTTACTCTATTGGCATAAATTTCCTCCAGAAAGTTTCTGTAAATTTCATTTCAGATATAATAATCATCTAACAGAATTAGCTATGAATAATGTATCTGTGTTGGTGGAGACATTTTTACTATAAAAATGTATTCAGTTTATCTGTTGATGCTAATAATTGGATTTCTGTTGCAATCAGCACCTGTGCAGGTCTGCATGATCACAGAATGTAGCTTATTAATAATTGTATTAATAATTCCTAATAATAAAACTACACTTCATATTAGTGTGAGTATGTATATTTATTGAAACTGTGCCCCTTAATTTTACACCTAAAAGTGTCCTAAAGCATTTTTATGGAAAAGTAAATTTTCCATATTTCCTTTAACTTCATAAACTTCAAGACTTGTATTACATTCTAAGGATTACTACTCAGTTAGTGCTACAATAGTGAGGAATTTCATTTCAAGTTCAATTTTATTAAGCATATTAAGCACACAAATCCATGTTAACGTTAACTAGAATTCATGTGGAAAAACTATACTACAAGAGAAGTGCCTTCCTTACTCTCTTTATTTTTACTAAATTTAAACAGGAAATATAAAACATGTGGTATCATCTACTACATTCAACCTTGTATTTCCTACGAACTGTAAAAACAAGGTAAGCATATGACAACCAAAAAAAAAAACACACAAAACAGATAAATAATAATATAAAAACACTACAGCGGTCATCAAAAAGGCTAAAGTCATAAAACAAGGATGTCTTAAGTGATTTAAAGTCCTTAGAAAAAAGACTTAACCTGAATATAATAAACTTAAACTGGGATTTCATATATATAGACTGTATTGTGTATAAAAAAAATCATTAATATACCAAATATAATGTGATTCCTGTTGAACTGAGTTACTTGAGTGATTTTTGTGTCTATCCAAGCACACCTCTTCCCAAAATGTTTTATCAAAATTGCCATTATAGAGTAGATGATCAGATGTTTTTGTCGTTTTTTTTTTTCCTTCACACAGTATACAGCTGTTAATCTCAAAATTACACCTCTTTCTTAAAAATTCACTTGAAGGGTAAACACTGTTTAAAACTTTGACATGAATTTGTTCGACTTGTGGGGGAATTGTACACTAATGTAGTCTGTCCACCACTTTCTAATTTGAACTGAATAATCGTAACAGAATTTCTGTTACATGGTACAGGATATAAGACACCATTAAACATTAATATAAATAAAACATTTGAAATATCACCTTTCAGTATTTCATTTCTATCTACTAGATGGGATGGTGAGTGTAAAGATGAGCACAGCTAAATTTATCATATAGTTTGTAAGATTATTAAACTGATTTCAGAGCTTTTCTTACACAATTAAACTGCTTATGTGCTCAATAAAGCTTATATCTGGAGTAAAACACTTCAGTTTCCAATATAATAACACCTGCTGATGAAAGGAAGACAGTTTATAAGCAATTTGGGGAACAGAGTCATCACAACGCAAAATCACATCAACACCCCCAATTTTTTAATGTTCCTTGTCACAGAACTAAATGCTTTGATATCATTAATTGTAAGCGTTTCATTTTAAGTGTGTGTCCACACTTTGAAAATCAATGGCTCACAAACCCCATATTTGTAATCGTTTTGAGTTCAGCTTTTCTGATATAATGAACTTTCCAAATAAATGTAAAAATTTAACTTTTATTTCCATCCTGAGGAATTGAGGGATATAAAACTGCATTATGTGACATTTTCACTGACTTTAACATATTGTAAACAACAATATAAGGCAAATACTGGTGTTACTGTTACCAAATACTTTAAAGAAATATATAAAATAAAGAATATAAAGAGCTGTCAGTAACGTTATCTCTGTCACTCGTGCACACTCTCACAGCCTCACACTCTCACTATGAAATGAAGTTTCTTCAAATTCTTAAACTACCTGGCATGTCAGGTAGTTTGCTAATGTTAGTGTCAGTAAATGGACAGACTAAAGAAAGCAGCACTTACTGCGCTTCTTTCTGAAGAGAAACAGAGGGAGAAAAGTCCAGTAGTTGTCTTTTCTTCCTAATCAGCCCGTGAGATCGTCAGCAAGTGCCTCGAACAGCAGAGCCAAGCGACAACCCCGTCTGTCTACATTACTGAGAGCTGCTCGCCCAGCCGCAGCGCTGAGGGGGACTCGGCACTCATTTTGGGAGGTTTTAGCAAACCTGACAGCAGGGTAGAGGACGGTACACACGCAGGAGAATCAGCCAATCAACATTTATCTTCGAGAAGATTCATTTTTCTTCGCAAATCCGAGTAAAAGTGTCCTCCTGAACAGCTCCGCATTCGCTCTGGTACTCTTACAATTCGTCGAGCGGTCCTACTGAGCATGCGCTAATCATTACTGTAGCGAGTTTTTCATGTTAATTCAGAGCAGACTCAGCTTAATATTACTACTTACCCCCTGATAAGGGGACTTAGGCAACCAACATCCTAATTATTTTTCTAATGTTGGTAACATTTTCTGATAAAAAGATTTAGGCTATCAGATTGTTCTTTGTTTGGGTTGCCAGGTCCAGCATAACTCCCCAGCCCGAAATGTGCCTAAAACCCTCCCACCCTGAGCTGCAACTAGCCCAGAATTTCAGTATTCATCTGAAAAAAAACACACTGTGAATTGCGTATGTACAGTACTGTGCAAAATGATTAGGTGATCTGTGAAAATTATACCTAAATCTATTTATCTGGTCAGTGAGTGTTTTTAACATTTTAGAATGTGTACAAATACACAAATAAATAATGTTATGATTTTATGTGTCAGCGTGTGAACCATTTCCAAGCCTCTCCTCAAGGAGGTGCAGTATTTACAGTTAAAATCCAATACTTAGTCTGAATCCCATATGGCTCCCTACTCTCTACATAATGCACAATGTAGGTCTTACAGTAATGGCTCCTGAACCCAAGCACTGCATAATATGTCCAACAAAGAGATATTAGAGATTCAACCTCATGCACACAATACCTGGACACATACTGCACTATTTGTGTGAAGAAGCCAAAATTTCATAATTCACATTGCACAGTGTAGGGAGCAGGGAGCCATTTGAGATTCAGCCTTAGATTATCCAATCAATCCTTCATTAAATTAAATCAGGTGTGCTGATGATGGAATTGAACAAATCCATACAGTGACAGTGCAGTGAGATGTCAGGAACCAAAACTGTGCTTCTAGCTTTATTCTTCTAACCAGCATATTAATAACAGGCAAAAAACACTCTTACTGCCGAGATATAGTTTTAAACTATTTTCTTGGCGGCCTAAGACTTTCCCTCAGTGCTGTTATTTTGCTATTAAAGTAATCCTGTGAGAATGGGGATCTACTTAAATGATGCTCAAATGATTTTCTTTGGGTATTTTTACTTTCTAAGTTTTAAAGCGGTTTTAATTAATGATTTGCTGAGATCTCTTTCTCTTGACATTACATGCACATCCACCCGACCACATCATCAGAATGTGAATCAATGATGTGCCATTAAAAGCCCCACTCGCTCTCTCTCTCTCTCTCTTAACTGTACTCTGCACTGTACCTGCTTGTCTGTCCTCAGGTTTCCAGCTATTCAAAGCCTCATATGATGATTCCTTTATACACTTATATAGCAATTCATTCTAATTTTCTACTGCCTATAATCAATCTTTTTCCTGTCCAAGGCACTTGTGAACGTTGCTAATGTTTACATAGACTGATGAGGAAGAATTAAACCTGGTGGAAGCACAATAAGTGCTAGTTTCTCTAGGCTGTCTATTTAGTGTAGTGTGTGATCACAGACTGTATATAAGATCACTGACTGTTTCTGTTGTTATTGCAGGCATTGTGGCAGCACCGCCAGATATGTGACGTTTATTTAAACCAAACTTTTCCATATGACTCTACATTTACCTTTTCAGCGGCAATTTAGCTGCACCTATTTACACTGAAGTTATAAGAAGTGTTTCTTCTGGCTGGCTTCTTACCCTGGGGGGCTTCTTCCTCTATTAACCCTACATTCGACTGATCTGGTGATCCACAGTGTTCGAAAGAAATTCCAAGTGCATTGTTGGAATTTGTAACGACCTCAACATCAACCTACAATTGGCTTTTTACAGTTCGGACACTAGTCAACACACACAGCAGTGCCTTAAAATACAGATAGGGATCTGTTCCTGAACAGGTGTGGTTTACCTGATGTTTGTTTAATAATTACATACCCACAGCCTATTAAATGAAGTAAGCTGTCTCAACAGATTACTTTAGACCTTCCTACAGGAGTTACCTACTAATGCTGATTTTCCCTCATTACATTCACCACTTGCAGCCAGAAATAAAACATAAAACAAATTTATTTTGAACCAAAAATTAAAATACATATACACCACCACCATGTAGCATACAGTTACAGAATATGTTAGTTAGATCACTATTTGAGATTCATTCGCAGAATCTGAGAATAATTCATCACAATGCTCACCAGGCATCATCAGCACTTTAGTGGACACACGTGATTAAAAACATGTCATATTTTGAAAGAAGTCCAGCGAAAACATTGTATGTTTGATTGATACAGTAAGTTAAGTAATGCTGCTCCCTCTATATGGAAACTTTCTTCTCACATATCCAACTGAATTGGACAGAGCATGTAAAATCATTCCATGTATTTAATATATCTGTTATGGGTCGTCCATCTTGTGGAGCATAGCCGGTTATAACACAGTCCTCGTTCCCTTCATAATTATTGGGTTCCCTGCTACACCAGAATCTGAAACCAAAGAAAAGATTGTCTTATCCTTTTATCATGCACTGCAGCTGACTGAGAGCAAGAGTTGATAACTGCATGACCAACATATTAGTTCAGGACTCTTTTACCTGGTGGTCAGTGTCGAGCCGTCCACCCACTTCCAGCCGTTTTCTTTGCTAATGTCACTCAGGCCAATCCAAGCTTCCTGACCTCTCCTGATCATTTCAACAAACTCCTGTTGAGGTATAATAGTGGATAATACACAAATTGGTAAAGCTTTACCTGAATCCTGCTGCGTAACATTAACATAACTAAGACAGAAACATGTCATGGCGGTGTCACGACAGGCATTATTATGTTTGTTTTTTTCTCTGCCGAGGCCCTCAGGCCTCAGCCCTTAAGAGAAGGCCTAAAGATGTCTAGTTTCTTGGTAGATAAAGCTAAGCAAGCTCTCATCAGCATTCTTACAAAGTGACAGAAAAATCAACCAATCACATTTAGATTTCCAGTGGATGGGACCAATTTTGAGAGAACAAACATCACTCTAGGTCTTTTGGAAGTCCTAGTTATGTCACTGACTGAGAATACAAGCAGCCTAATCAATGGGTTGTAAGAAATGGAAAACAGTGGCAGCAGCTCTGTACCAGCCTCTGAACTGAGTCACTATGAAACTGCTACAAGGTAAAAGCTACAAGTTTCAAGTAAAACCTGGAATGTCTTTCAGATGCTTCAAATGATTGTGTTTAATCTAGAATGGCCAAAACATGTTAATGCGAACTGCCGCCAGCTTAGTGCTATCAAACTACTAAAATCCCATAGAGATGCTAGCAGAAATCAGCATCTCTATAGCATTTTTTTTTCCTAATGTTTTGACCAAATCATGGCAACTCATAGCAGCTTATGACATGACATGTTTATAGCAGGGAACATGTGAAGTGTTACCTACATCATTTCTTTTCTCTCTCTCTCTTTCTCACCTGTTCCTTTCTGCTGTTTATGATCACCAGGTCTGCTCCTTTACTATTGCAGTCCTGTCTGCTCTCAGTCCAGCTCCTCTTCTCAGTAGACATGTAGTAAATACTGGAGCTGAAGTAGATCCATCCCACCTTGTTAATGTTTTCATCTGTTCATGGAATAGATTAAGATACAATTTTACAATTTGTTCTCCAAAGTAAAATTTTGAACATGCAGACAGGTGACAGTGAAAAAAAAGTTTCTCCAATAGATATTCCCTCAGTTGGTGTTTGGTGATGGAGGTGGAGAGCGCTGTCTCAGTTCAACTAATATTATAGATGGGTTAAGATCTATCTATCTATATAATCTATTATTAACTCGGGTGTGATTTGGTGACTGTGAAGGCCATCGCATGTGATTTACATAATTTTCACACTCATCAAACCACTCGGTGACTTGTAGTGGCCCTTCTCTTTAAGGGGACAAGTGGACCATGTCCATGTCTAAACCATGCCCCCTACATTCTTACAAAAGATTCTTCAGGGGTTCTTTAGTAAACAACATAGTTCTATATAGAACTATGAACACTCAATGAACTCAAATGAAGGGCTCTTTGCATCGTTACAGGGTTCTTCCGATGTAAAATGTGCTGAAGTTGGTTCTATTACAGAACCATTTGAAAAAGGTTTTATATGGCACCTAAAGGGCTCTATTGTTATGATATTGTTATATTGTTTTCTGTTCTGTTTTCTAATTTTAGTGTCCAAATCATCATCCATAATAGTGAGTCAAAATACAGATGCGTCAGATAGAATTTGGGTTGAAAAACACTGGAACGTTCCTTTAAGAATATTAGTTTTAAAGTCTGTAAGTACTACAAATCACTAACCCAGGTCAGAAAGTTTCCTCTGGAGTGCATCTCTCCCTTTAGCCAGGTTGGTGTTACTGGTCTGTAATTGGTCTCTCTCTTTAGCCAGGTGGGTATTACTGGTCTGTAATTGGTCTCTCTCTTTAGCCAGGTGGGTATTACTGGTCTGTAATTGGTCTCTCTCTTTAGCCAGGTTGTTGTAACAGGTCTGTAACTGGTCTCTCTCTACAGACTGATTGTTGCAGCCAGTATATAACAGGCTTGTGTCCACCTGAAAGGTAACTGAAAATCCAAGAACATTATCATAAATGTAAATAATTAGAAACACAAATAAAAGCACTTTATTCTTAGTCTAAAACAGTAGTGGATAAAGTACACAACTCTTATACTTGAGTAAAAGTAAAAATACTGTTGGCAAATTATTACTTGAGCACAAGTAGAAGCTCTATTCTTTATTTGAATTAAAGTACAAAAGTACTTGCTTTTAACTATATTAAGAATCAAAGGTAAAAGTATTGTAAAACAGTTGGGCATCAGATCTACAAAATACCCCAAAGACAACTTTTAAGCATTTCCTTTTATTTTGAAGGCTTGTCAGATGTGCCAGAGCACAAGTCATGCTATGACTGACTACTGGAATTTAAGGGAGATGTTTAGTGAAATGTGTGCTATGATAAGTTTGATTCATTTTGAAAGTGCATGATATTCTTTCAGATATTATGGAAACTCCAATTTCTTCTACGTTCAAGTAACATCACATGCTGCTCACCGCAGTGTAATCGGTAGGATATATTTTACTTTGAAACGTAGTGGCATGAAAGTAAAAGTGTTCTTGAAAAAATGAAAATGCTTGAGCCTAGAAAAAGTATTTAAGGACAGTAATGAAGTACTTTGTTACTGTCCACCACTGGTCTAAACACATTAATGACCCCCAAAAACTGAAGGTAACTTACAGTATAGTCTCAGGACAATATTGAGCGTCGCCTGAAGAATACACATCACACCAATGCACAGGGCAGCCAGCCTGAGCGCTGAACACACAAACACAACCAATATAGCATACATTTTGTGGTCCTGCAGGTAAACATGACTTAGAATTTGGTTGTACTCTTACCTCTGTGTTGACCATGTCTTGCGTTTGAGCGAGAGCTTTTGTGTAATGCCTCTACATTTTGGTAAGCATGAACGGGTTCATTTTGAATGTCCATGTCTAAATTCACTGACTTGAAGTGCTCCAACACCCAGAGGAACTTTGCTTTTGAACTCACAGCCTGGATGTGATTAGCACGCTTAGCCTCTGCCCTGAATGTGGTTGCGTGGTTAATGGTGTAGCACTAGTTGAAATGAATAGAAAATCAGGAACTGAAAGCAATGAGGCAACTCAGAAGGGGGAAACCAGACGTTTATCAGCAATTACCTCTGTGATGATGACCATGAACCAATCTGTCATAGGTTTTAGAAACAGGGCACACAGTTAAAACACCACTGCTGATTTTGGATTAATTGACCAACTGATTGATTTAGGTAGCTAATTAAATCTAGGAACACCATTAAAACACCACTGCTCATTTTAGACTGATTGAATTAGCTAGTTAGCTTAGTCTAGGTACACAGTCGAAACACCCCAAAAAAGCCTCATTTCAGACCAGGTCATTAATTTAGCTAGCTAGTTAAATCCAGGTAAACTGTTGAAACACCAATGGTACACCATCAAAACACAGTTATAACACCTCAAAACCCCTGATTTTAGACTGACTGATATGGCCAGCTAATTGATTTAGTTAGCTAAATCTAGATAAACAGTTAAAGCACCTTATTTTAGAGCAGCTAATTAAATCTAGGAACACAGTCAAAACAGCACTGCTCATTTTCACACAGTTCACTTAGGGAGCTTTCTAAAACCTATTATGCATAACTGCCCATGGTACTGCAGTGGACTGGCGACCTGTCCAGGGTGTATCCTGCCTTTCGTCCCAATGACAGCTGGGATAGGCTCCAGCACCCCACCATGACCCAGAAGGATAAGCGGTTTAGATTATGTGTGTGTGTGTGTGCCCATGGTAGCTAGCTAGCATGGTGCAAAAAGAACCTGTTGCAATTTCTTGCCCAATATTTAGCCCATGGCCTTTTCTAGTAAAAGCATATGTATCAGCGTTAAGAAACTATGCACTGCTAAGATGGAGTCCCAGCCATGTCCTGTACAGTCTGTAGGCCTGGGCTTCTGCAGACACAAATACTGCTGTTGTTGTTGAGAGAGAAAGCAGAACTTCTTTTCTGAAGATTACGCAACTTAGCACTCGTGGCTAGTGAAAAAAGGGAAACCACTACTTTCACTGGAAATATGAGGGATATGACTACAAAAATTAAAGCAGCTTGTCTGATTAATACATAAATCCATACTGTCTATATCATATATTCTTCCGTCTGATTGTCAAAATGAAACTGCTGCCCACTGATTTAAGGCCAAGTTCCTTTTTCATTACATACGCAGAAGATTTTGAAACAGTTGACATGCTCACCCTCAATCTGTCATCACATCCATCAACCAGTTGTTGTGACACATGTCCAGTACTTGATCTGAGTCAGATTCATGTCCATTTAAAGTGTAAAATTCGGTCAACATTGCATGATATGGCTGAAAATAGAGCCTCCTGAGTCAGTCATGTTAAACTCAACCCTCCTATGGTGTTCTGGGTCAAAACTGACCTTTCGCAGGTTTCAATGTCACACACTTCTCATGTCTGCCTTACATATAAGTAGTGTTGTAGTACTCGGAAACTGTTGTCGAGACCAGCAGAGCATGACGCCTCCATCTGAGGTAACTGAAAACTGAATCATTACTGAATAGAATCCTAATAAACCGGTCCTTTCTCTGCATCGAACTTTTGAAACTCATCATGTAAGCTACTTATCCTCCTGGGCCGCTAGTCCATCACAGGGCAGACACACAGATATACACAGTCAGTTAGCCTGTCTGCATGTCTTTGGACTGTGGGAGGAAACCGCAGCACACAGACATGGGGGGAGAACATGCAGGGCGCTGCTCACCCGGCCGGGGAATAGAAGCCAGAGTCATGTAACAAGAAGACTGTGTGGCAGCTACTGGGTGCTTAATGTCAGACTGGAAAGAGGAAACCTAAGGAGTTCTGATTAGATACATATTCACTGTTGATATTTAGGAACATAGTCACTGTGAATGACAGTGTAAGTTGTTGGTTTTCAAAGCTTCATTTGAAAAGACCCCTGAGCAAACAACACAGAGCACTAGTTACTTGTTTTTAGTTTCTAGATTATAAATATATTGTTTTATTTTTTGTAAATAATAATAAATCAACAATATTTATCATATTGAACATTTGCTTAAGCGTATAGAGCAACAAATTTTTGCATTCTGCAGTACCACCACGGCCCGCTGGGGGGTCGCAGCCCACAGGTTGAAACCACTGTTTCATATGTTTAAATAAAATCTGTTGGTTTAGGATTGAATCAATCTTTCTGAATTGATGATGGCTTAACTGAGTATTACTTGTTTGTTGATGTTCACTGGTTCCAAAATGTAAACAACCCCTGGGACATCCCCAGATCAGAATGTTTTTGTTACTATGTTTTCATTTAATAGTAAAAATGTACATTGATGTAGTTTAGACTTTAAGTGGTGATTCTGAATAAGTTTATCAGAAGAAAAGAACAGAGAATAACCTCATCATTGCTTTCAGTTATAATGCAAAGTTTCACTAAGACTAATATTGTAGTGTCCTGCTATCATCTGGCTCACTCGCTGCTCCGCATGGCCACGCCTCCTGTGCGAAAAATTAATGTTTTAAGAAGTATATATTAAAAGTTATTTTTTACAAAATATATTCTAAAATACATAGCAGCTAAAAGGAGGTTCACTGTCTATAAAATCCATGAAATCATTGATCAGGAAGAGGCCATGATTTACAAGATGCTGGTAGAGAAATAGAAGAAGTAGCATCTGAAACTGAGAACTTGTTGTTGAAATCACTTCAGAGCCTGAGGAATTACCCTCCGATGATGAAATCGAAGTGCAGCAATATGCTGAAAGGGAGGCATTCATGTCTAGAACGGCATGTCACAATTTATTCATAAAGCAGTGTCATCAACACAAATACAATATCTGTGAAGTACATGCATGCTAGAAAGTGATAGTCCACTAGAATATATGGCTCATCCAAAATAGCAATTTAAATCTGTAAAATGCTTTAAAATGCATTTTGTAATGACAATAAATGTACTACTTTAAGATAAATAAGTTAATTATGAACAGTAAAATACACTAAAATAAGTTCATCTTTGTTAGTGGGTTAGTAGTTGGCAAGTACAGTCAAATAAAATTGTAGAGTAACATACGTTCTGGGACTGCTTTGAGGCGATTTAGCCATTCAGGGTCAAAACTGACCCATAAACATCAATGCTGTGACTGATTTATGAACATAATGAAAGGGTTAAATATCTTTATACTGTTTGTAATACTAAGCCTTTAACAGTAAGGTTTGTTTGTATTAGTTTTAGTATATAATATAGTCTTTAAATGCCTTATGTTGTAGCCCAGTTCAAAAATGAATAGGTCCCTACTGAGCTCTTGTACAAAATTATAATTTATTATTCATTTTCTCAGTACTGAACTATGTAAAATATCTCAACACTGCTGTCATAATGTTTGGAGCACTTTTGAACTCCAGTTATAAGACTTTCTAGCAGTGTCTTATGTACATTAATGGCATCGTTGAGTGTAAACCACTTAACTCAGCCAATGAGCTGATTAGCTCGCCGACCCATCAGCACTCAACAGCAGTAATGCCAACCAATCAGCATTTACTAGCAGAAATTCTGAAGTCCTACAGCCCAAAACCTGTAGAAAAATATACTCATAATTTAATACATTCTTCTGTTTTGGTTATGTCCTCCTGACTCAGCGGGGTTGCAATATATCATGAAGAAATGGCTGCATGCTGTCATTCTGTGGTCAGTGTCATGACCATATTAGGAACTCTATATCTAAGCCCACCTACTGGGTTACAGGCTGGGTCAATAAAACCACACCTCCATACCCCTTCCAGTACTGCCAGCTGTAGCAGCCCAGCCACGTAACCCAGCTGCTGATTAATCTGTGCCTGAAAAAGTTAACCCCTGATGTAATAGCTCAAGCTTATGTCTTAACTTCCTCCACTTTTTCTTTCTCTTGGCTTTTTTTCTATTTCAGGTTCCAACATCCTTTTTTGTTAAAATTAATTAGTCATGTTTTTCAGATGTAAAATAAATTATAAATAAGTTTTTTTCCTAAAGCGTTTTTGATTAAGATGTATGTAGAATGTTTATTACTGCATATACTCTCACCCAGCACCTTATATGGAACACCTGTACAACCTACTCATTCATGCAGTTATCTAATCAGCTAATCATGTGCCTGCAGTGCAGTGCATAAAGTCATGCGGATACAAGCCAGCAGCTTCAGGTAATGTTCACATCCCAATCAGAATGGGGAAAAAAACATGATCTCAGTGATTTTGATGATCGTTGGTGCCAGACGGGCTGGTTTGAGTAACTCAGATAACCACTCTGTACAACTGTGGTGAGCAAAAAAAAAAAAACCCCAGAATGAACAACACGTTGAACCTTGAGGCAGATGGGCTACAACAGCAGAAAACAACATTGGGTTCCACTTCTGTCAGCCATGATCAGAAAGCTGGAGTTGCAGTGGGCACAGGTTCACTAAAATGGGACAGTTAAAGACTGGAAAAATGTAGTCTGGTGTGATAAATCTTGATTTCCGCTGAGACACACAGATGGTGGGGTCATAATTTGGCACTAACAGCATGAATCCATGGACTTAGTCTGCCCTGTGACAACAGTCCAGGCTGGTGAAGGTGGTGTAGTGGTGTGGGGAATGTTTTCTTGGCACACTTTGGGCCTGTTAATACCAATCAATCATCGCTTGAATGCCACAGTCTGTTTGAGTATTGTTGCTGACCATGTTCATCCCTTCATGACCACAATTTACCATCTTCTAATGACTAGGCTACTTCCAGCATGATGATGCTCCATGTCACAAAGCAAGAATCGTCTCAAACTGGTTTCATGAACATGAAAATGAGTTCTTCAGTAGTCTTCCCAGTCAGATTGGAATCCAATCCCAACCCTTTTGGGATGTGGTAGAACAGATTATTTGCAGCATGAAAGTGCACCTGAAAAATCTGCAGGAATTGCATGATGCAATCATGTCAACATGGACCAGAATCTCAAAAAAATTCCAAAATTTTGTGCAACCCATTCCATGAAGCAGGGCCAGATTAAGATCCTTTGGTACCCCTGGGTAGTAACAGTGCCCTATCCCTACCAACCCACTGAATAGTTTTTCTAAATGGGCCTCAGGATAGTTTAACTAATTCTAAACTGAACCAGAATTAGTTCTTCAGCTAAGACCTTTTTAAGATCTTGTTAAGATAACATTTGCAGTCACCCAGGTCATCCTTATGATAGACTCAGCCATGCCACGAAGAACTGAGACTGTTTTGTGCTTGGCAAGCATATACTTGATTTGCATTACCACATCAATAGATTTCAGCCAGGACAACCAACGGTCATTTGCCTCGGCTTAAATGTGTAGTTTAACATGTGTACAGTTATTACTGTAAGGAAACATTAGGCGAGCCAATTATTGGGTAAAATTAACCCAACATTCCACTCAACATGAACCAGCATATGGGTTGAATGGTTAACCCAGCTTGCCAGGTTAAAATGACCAATATAACTTTAATGAGTCAGCTTAACCCAATATGTGTTCTGTTAGATAGTGACCCAGGCTTGTGGTTGAAACCAAGCCAAACAGATTTTTCAAAATGTTCTTTTGGGCACTGTCTGTAACACGAGCAGTCTTCCAAACGAAGCCCAACTGCATACATAATGTGTTTTAAAAATTTTAAAAATGGATTGGTCAAGTTTGTCTTGCTGGCAGACCAGCTAAACCATCAAACTCAAATGAAATCAAACCTTATGCTGGTCAGCTGGCTAGGTTGATCTACCAGCTTAACCAGCTGGTTGACAAGCATAGGGTATGCTTTTGTCTAGTCCAGCTAGATGACCAACTTGTCAACTACCTTGACCATCAAAAAACAGCTTAGACCATCTGAAAGCTGGCTACAAAAAGAAGTCTAGAGGTGTTTTTTTGCACCAGGGTTGGTAATATAAAGCAAACCCACAGCACCACATCCTGTATTCACAAAGCTTCTCTGTTTACGAGCTCTGATCTATGAAGTTCCTTTCTTATTTAACCATGACTTTACTGATAGGAACAGATCCTAGACAGCACTCCTACTCTGAGAAGCTCTGGCTTTTGTCCACAGGCTAAATAATAATGCCTGTGTAAATGGAAAGGCTGGAATAATCAACCTAGGGGCCACTTTCTCTATACTGATATTGCAATAATGAATGAAGCAAACATGAATTTGTCCGCACATGAGGATTAATATGCCAAATAAAGCTAAGAAAAATATAATTTAAAGTAATTATTTATTCCCTGATGCAAATTTTAAAAACAGAATTCCATAATAAAACCTTACACAAATGACAGCAATCAACAACACAGAAATGTTTACAATTAGCTTACATAAAAAAATTCTCTGTAAAATGCCACCAATTTCAAACTCAGCTTCTGTTCTTTCCCTTAACCATCATTAGTATGAAAACCTCAGCTTCCTTATGAGTTATTATAAAGTGCAATTACAAAAAAGCACGTCATGAAAATGAGGTCCTTCCCTGCTGTAAACATCATAGAAAAATTATGTTCTATATTATAAATGAGTAACAGAGTGTAAGTATATTGGACAAAACAAAATGCACTGGCACAAGTTCTGCATTACATCACCACAATTTAACAAACTCTGCTGTATGATATGAACAAAGAGGTTAATGCCTATGATTCAAGTGCTTCCTCTTGCCTCACTATGTCTTTTAACCTTATAATAAAATGTTTCTCTTAAAAGGCCTCAGGAGTTGTGATTCTGTCAAGATATACTTGTGACTCCTGTTTCGTTCACAGTGATCAAAATATTGCTAGGAGCATAAGGCAGAGGTACGATCGTTCTTTAAAATCTTTAAAAGAGAGTTAAAACTGGCAGTACTGTATTCGCTCTCCGTCGATTTGCTTTGGTGTTTTGCCTCCCCCTTGTGGAGAAGACTTCTAACTACAGTTTGGAGAATGCAGTCAGTAATGCCCCTGCCAGCACCAGACAGAAGGCCAGGATAAGAACCAGATAATTTCGTAGACCCTGAAGAGGAAGAGACGCAAAACATTCAGTATGTTCAAAAGAACGCAGAGATTTACAGAGATGCACAGAGATGCTTACCTTCACTTCTTTAAACACTACAACACCCCAAATAGCAGCAATAAGGCCAGGAACCTGTGAAGTAACAAACAGCTTGTTTACAACTTGCATTAATGTGTTTATGTCCACATCATATCTGCCCTTGTGAAAGGAGAATGCATTTAAGCAACAAAAACGTGAACTTAATATGAGAAGTACATACTTTTACTTTAAAAACAAAAGCACTCTGTAATTCTCCATAAGGTTTATGTGAGGTCAAACTGCAAAATGCTACAGCAAGCATAGAGGGTGACACGGCTACTGTTTTGCTGTACCATAAAGAGAAGAAATCACTCGTCACACAAATGACGGCACCTTGAATGATGACGCTGTGATGTGATGGTGAAATTTCAGAAGGCATCATGGTTCAATTAGTCAGTTAATCAAATAACAGTCCTCCTGGCACATCATCTGTACTGTAATCTGACTGGCTGTGAGAGCAGTCACTCACCGTGGTGATGATAGGAAAGCTGACCACTGCACTGAGGTAGTGATTGGCCAGAAACCAGCAGCATGTGGCCACGCCCCACATCACGCCAGACACAAAACCTGCACACAGAATCAGCAAATACAAGACTTGATCCTGAAACCCGCCATACAAAGGCCTAAGATAGCAAAAGTATCAAAAAGTGCGTATATTAAAGCTTTAATGCAGCCCAAAAAAAAACAAATCTTCTATCTGAACCAACCAGAGCTGGACAAAAGTATTGTCCAGACTCAACCTGAACCACGTCAAGTTCAGTCTGAAACTGACCCGAGTGCAACATTATGTCCAAAACTGAGTAGAACCGGCCCATCATTACTGAAAGTGCTGAACACAATTTGACAGGATAGCGCTGGTTGCCACATAGTGCCAACAGCCATTAGATTACATGTAAATACGACATAAAACAATATAACATCCAAAATTAATTCTAAATCCAGCTGTAACAGTAGAAAAGGTGCAACACTCACTCTATAAACAGCGAAAGGGGAACTATTAGTTAAAAACATTCCTGCCAACATGGTAATTGGTGGAACTTTCTTTTCTCACCCTCTTAAATCCAGCTTTACCAGAAGTATTCATCAAGCAATGCTTTTGAACAACATCTCAAAAGTTTTTAGACTTGATAAACTTTCCATACTGCATTGTTCTCATGTGTGGTGCTAAAACACACTTAAAAATGATGGTCCTTCAACGGTTCTTTAGAACCATTAACACGCAAAGACCCCTTTGCATGATGAAAGGGTTCTTAAGATTCATGGAAAATGTGCTGTAGATGGTTCTATATAGAACCTTCTTGAAAAAGATGTCAAGCTTGCATCAACAGAAGAACCGTTTTCAAAAAGGTTCTACATAGAATTATCTATAGCACATTCTGCATCAATCTGAAGAATGCTTTAAATCATGCAAAGGGTTTTTGGACTGTTCATGGTTCTACATAGAGCCATTTTCTTTAATAAAGAACCCCTGAAGAACCATCATTTTTACATTTGTAGAGCAGGATGTTAGACTTTAACTATTTAATACTAAAGCTCTTATTTCTTTACGCCAAAGATGTTATATAGCATACTGAACATATAAAAACACTTTTAGCCAAACAAAGTTAATCGTTCGTTTGGCTGCACTAATCTGTACCTCCCCAAATCAATGAGCATTTTATTTACCTCATGAGAAAATGGACGAGTGTGAACCTCAGTGCTAATTTCTGTCAGCAACACACGTGATGACTCCAGTTTGCCAGATTCAAAGTGTGTTTTAAGGCAGTAAAAATACAGAACAATACAGTAAGGAGCAATAATAAAGCAGGGGAAACGCAGGTTATACTCTGTTAAAAATGGGAGGCGGGCTGTGTAAAACCAAATCTGAAATTTGAACCCGACCCGTGAGCAGTCGGGTCCCGTCAGGCTCAGAGAAACATTAAGCTCTAGTGTGTATCTTCAGTATGGTTTACCTGGTAGCACAGCTTTAGGGAAGACTTGAGGTTTGTTCTTTTTGAAGGCGCAGTAGATGACGAAATACACCG